ATTCACTCAGCCAGTGATTCTACTCATAGAGTAGAGCCTAGACTACAGTACCTACTAAAATTTAACAAATTTTTAGCATTGTCAAATCAAATCAAATCAAATCAAAATAATCTTTATTTCATAGGTAAGCATTATTACACTTGAAATCGTCACAATGGTTAAAATTTGTTTTTTTGTCTCAACGTCGTCGGTCGCCTGACTTTCGAGCTAGGCTAACCTGTGTTATAATATAATAATAATAACGCTTACAATCAACATAGCCCCGCACTAGGGAAAACCCTGTGTCGCGGGTGCTATGGACACACACATAGACAACCACAAATTACACCCAAACTCACGAGAGAAATAAATGTAGGCCATACAAATATTTCTCCCGGCCCGGGAATCGAACCTGGGACCTCTGCGTGGCAGTCCGGCATGGTAACCGTTCGGCCACGGAGGCAGTTAAAAGTTATGAAAGCCAGTTGTTCGGTTATTTGCTATAAGCTACTTTTCACATCATACACATACGGAAGTCATATGTCATCGACATACTATTCTCTGTTCAGGTGATATTACACGGAAATTGGAACCCCTCAGTCATTACGAACGACGTAGCTGTTATTGCACACTCCTATGTCAATTACACCGGTAAGAACTACTAAATCTTGTTTTCTTGTTACCCATATTGTGCCACACGACGATTCTAATCTACTTTACCTACGCCTAGTGGATGTATAAAAAGTAGTTGGTGCCTTTTTAATTTTGATAATTAATATTGAAGACTGCATGTGGCGCGATGAGCGACACTTAATTGGCCGATAATTTCTCATTGTTGCTCTTTTTTGTCGCTGCGCTTAATTCTGTAGTCTAATGAATCTGAGTATGTGCATTCTAATCTGTGATGAAAACAAAATCAGTTCCTCGGCCTTCAATGGTCAATAGTCAAAGGTTGTCTTTCCTAATTCTGCTACGAATTTTTGAATTGTTATTGTTCATTTTACACATTCCATGTGCTTGTTACTAGCATAAAATTTAGATAATACTATTTTTCTTACAGATTTCATCACACCAATTGCCATGACCGCTAGCACGAGTCAGTTCGATGGCGTGAGTGCGCAGGCGGTCGGCTTCGGTCGTCAATCTGACAGTAAATTCAATGAATCGATAAATATTCTTTACCGCACGTTTTAGTCCGCCACAGATCAAAATTACGAAAATGCGATGATCTATTGGCCCCATCCTTAAGCTAAGCTAAGCTAAGCTGGCTGAGGCTGGATTTGCTAGTAATATACTTAATGAGAAATTGTAAAGAAGTCCAGCACTATGTCTAGGTCTTTCTTGCCAATGGTTTCTTGTTAAGTTGTAAGTTTTTTTACTGCTTCAAATTTTTAAAGAGATTCGAACTAATCGCTAATCTCTTGTTAATGTACCTTTCGTTTAGTGAATAAATCAATAAACTGTTTTCCCAATCACTAATGCCGTCTTCGAATAATTAAGGGTTGAATAAGTAATTGCGAATACCGAAGAGGGCTCAAAGATATGGACAGCATTAAACGTAGCCACATTGATTGCTTAACAATAATAATATCTATGTCGTATACCTATACTGGCAATGTGCAGTAGCACTCATAGTACCTTCTACTAATTCTGCAGACGCAGGCATCAGCATGAGCCAGAGACTACATCACGTAACTCTCCAAGTGATAAGCAACACAGTCTGCTTAAACACTTTCCGCGGACTTCCGACCACTAACATCTGCACTTCTGGTGCTGGAGGACGCTCTGTATGCGGTGGAGACTCTGGGGGCCCTTTGATACATAATGACCAATTGGTAAATGTTTCAGTTGATTTTTTTTCATTGCACAAAAATATATTATACAAGAGAATGTCTCAACCCATACTCAGACTTACCACTGCCGGGTACGGTTCCAAGGTAAGGGCTTAAACTATACCTAATTTATCACGCTTGCTCGGAAAGGCTTTCTTTCTCGTTAGAAATCTGCGCGCAAAAGCGTTTTTTGCACGCTAGCGTGGAAAAGATTTTTGAAATTCCAGCTTGACGATGGACTGTGGCGCACCTACCTTTTTCTTTTATGAAAAAAAAAACAATGACACGTTCAACAACGCGATTTATCGTACATTATTTGTGTAATATAAATCCGTTGGTATATTTTATTCTTATTATTGTTGACGTTAAAGTGATAACGACAGCTAATTTTGTTTATTAAATTATTTTAATTCGTCGAAAATCTAAACTGATTTGTTACAAGTTCAACTGTTTTTCTTTCATCTATCTTTTTCCGCGCTATAGTGAGATGAAAAGTTGTGTGTTTCAACGGCAGCAAAGTTGTTTTGCGTCTCGTGCCTTGAAGCGTAGTGAAACGCTTAGGATTCTGTTTCTGAACCACTCGCTGACACCTTCGCTTGCCGGTTTGCCAGGTTCAATACAAGCGCTCGCGTCAAACAACAACTTTGCAAATAACTAAAAAAAATAAATAAAATACCTATTATAAGTAGCGGTTGAGATGGTAAAAGTTCCCCTTAGGTATTGTCCAAAGCTTCACATATCACAAGTGCCAATGTTAATTTAATAGACTTAATGGCTGGTTAATTGTATTATTTTTCTTTCCTCCAGATTGGTATCGTATCCTTCGGCCACGTCTTTGGTTGCGAGCATGGCCACCCCCAGGTGTTTAGTAGAATCAGTAGTTACAGAGTTTGGATCTTAGACAGGATATGATTACAACAACACCAAACAGAATTGTTATGTTGTGACATTACACAATAAGAAATAAATCGTTTTTAATTTTATTTATTATTTGATCACGGACTCTGCCTACCCCAGTAAGAAATAGGCGTGATGAATACATATTAGACTCCTTTTTCTTGAGAGCTAAGCCAGATAGGTTAGAAGTCTTGTATGGAATAAATATGTACAATAATAATGCCAGGCAATCACTCCAATTTTTTGTTGTCAAATTAGGGAATTTCCTGTACTATAAGTACCGGAATAACAATAACTTGAGAGCAATACCCAGAAAACCTAGACCAGAATCAATTTCAAAATATTTGTTCCATAAATTGGCCCAAATCGGGAATCGAAACCGAACCTCTTCCCCAAGCGCCTCGTACAAAACGAACTCTTCTCCTCGCTCTTCTCTTCGCCTCGTGCTCTTCTTTACAAGCACACACCGTAATCTGTAATAAAAGAATATATATATAACCTGCCCCGGTGCAGGTACAATTCTGTATTTAATTGAATTAATGCATGATAGCCGACCCCAACATTAGCGCATGTACGTCATCGTATGGATCAGTTCGCGAAGAGTACACTTTGAAAGCTATTACCTAGTTGGGGAGGCTATTAAAGCGCCTTATCTCATTCCGGACGAAGTAAGTAAATGTATTCATGAGTTCACTGAATATTTAACCGGAGATTTGAATAACGCGGGAATTGGCTCCGGGTAAGCTGATGTGTCCACGAAAACAATTAGCATTGTAACGCCCTTAGAGCCCGAGCCCGTTTTACCGTTCGTTCTATCCGCCGCGATAGCACTTAGACACCCGCCTGCTATGCAGTGAAAATGAAATATAATTTCATAGCAAATATAATTTTAAACATTTTAAGAAAATAGTAGGCCTTGTTGCTCGACGATTGATAAAATATCGTACCAATTCACCAAACGTTTACGGAGAATCACTTCTAATTTCGTCACGTTTTATTCACCAATGCAGGCGACTGTACCTGCATGTCCATTTATTCCAATTTAAATCGCGTCTATCTCAACTGACAATAGAGTTAGAAAAACAGGAGACATTTGTTGCGCTTGCGAAATGCTATTTGTTTATAAGTGACAACTAAATTGAAATTGAAGTTGAAGTCTACTCAATATATGGCACGAAAAAATTCCATAACTATATTAAATCACATATGAGTTTTCATATGCGAGAGGGGATGCTTCGGTGAAAGAATGAATGTTGGTGTTTGACGGCACTAGTTGACAAAAGACGAAACAGATGTGGATGGAGACGTGCATATCTGAGTCAGATTGGGGATATCCTTAAAAAAGGCCGGGTTAAAGTACCACGAATATCCGGACGTATATGAAGAGGCTGGGAGTGAAGGAGGCGAAGAAGGTTTATCAAAGAACGTGTTAGGTGGAAATCCATCACCTCTGCCTACCCTGGTGGGAAACAGGCGTGATGATATGTACTCGTTTGTGTAAGTTTTTATTATGTAGTTCTGAGGAAAGTATTTTTAATTTGAATTTCTTGCTGTTTTTGTCTTTCGTATCTTCATTTACAAACTAGGAAAATAAAGATGGTCTTATTTTGTAACAAATTTACAGGTATCCAAAATACAAACTGAAAATATAAAATACAAACGTAAGTGATAGAGTTTACTATTTGTCTACGTGAGTCAGTAGTTTCCTGGTTGAGAATGTTCTCAAACATCGCCTTTCCTATTCGACGAGTCCAGGAGCGACACTACGTCACAAATGAACTGCTCTAACGTTATCAACACGGCACTTGCGCAGGAGCTCGAAGTTCCCTCATGAATTTCCCGGCACGCGGCGGTGCGGGCTTAATTACGAAGTTTGATACGTAAAACCATCACCCGCCATTCTCAAGTATGTGCTTATTGAAAGTTACCGAGGGAAACACTGTTGTGGCAACGTTCATTCGCATATGTACATGGCATAAATAAATATAAGTAGACGTGTACGCCATTACAAGCAGCAGTTCGAATCCAAGTGTTTGCAGCCAGCCGAAACTCAACTCTAGGTTTGGTTTAATGTTTCGAAGAGGCATGTTCTCTGATTTCGGTGCAATTTTGGTCGGAGCCCGGAGGTCGGCGGTTGATAATTGAGTAAAGGCTGTAGTGTGTACCACTTCCTTATTCACCTCTCTCGCACTACTCAGCGATCTATAATAAGCGACCACTCGGTCATAACACAGGCATCAGATAGCCGCACTAATTTCATTAGCAAGCTAATGGTCTCAATCTCGTGCCCAACAAGCCTACAAGCCGACCCTAACACCCGTTAACGAGCGGGTGGCCCAATACGCTTTGGGACGGTTGATCTCTACTAACGGTTCAACATTTTTGTTTAGATTTGCACCGATGGTAATTTGTACTCCTAAAACTGTTGAACGGGCGGGTTTATCTCCTTCCGGCAATTCCCAGATCTTTTCGAACTTGGCCCTGTTGCTCGTGAACGTGGGGTCGTCTTTTTATTTTTATGTATTTATGTATAAGTGCTTTATATGTGCAGTCGTCATGCACCTATGCAAGAGAGAGGGACAGATATTTATTGTAATTTATCCTGGAAAATCCATTTATGAATTTATTTATGTTTGCTTGTTTTTAAATATTCTGGAAGTTTATTATACGAGATTTTTATTAATGTTGTTTGAGGTCCAGAACTATGTATTCTGCTATTTAGACGTTGTTTGTATAAGGTTGCTTTTTCTGGGAGTGTGATGTCGAATGGCGTCTCCTACTTTATTATATAAATTTGGATATTTTTTTATAAATTGGAAATTATCTGGTATATACATATGTACCTGAGAATGTTAGTATATCAAGTTATATATGGGACGGTTTACAGCTTTTACTTCTTTTATATTTATAAGAATCCAGATACATTTTTTTGTAGTTAAGTGCTCATGGGCATTTCGCTGTTTCCCCAAAGTTTTACGCCGTAGCTTAGCCACGCGACCACGCGAAGGCGTAATGTGTGGTCACTGTTGTTTTCAAGTTTTAACTTTTTTTTATCTCACGTAGAGCATAGGTTAAACTGTTACTGTGTTTTATTTTAATTTTTTAGAAACGCGATTTCCAATCAATGTTTATACCTATAAACGAAAAATTGTGCACGAATTCTAATTTTATTTGTTTATATGCGAAATTTTTTTTAATTTTTTTTTTTTTCTTTCGTACCAGGATTACCTATTTCACTGAGACGCTATGTTGTATGTCTCCTAAAGCAGAACGATATGATTTTAATTTGAAATAAAACATTACTCAACGAACATACCGTCTGCTTAACACAAAAGTGACATTTTCCACAAAAAAACCTCCAAATTATGTACCAGTTGTAAGAAATTCACCATCTTTCTGCAGATAAAACTCTTATTAAGTTTATAGCTTTTTTGTTATTGAGCTTCACGTGCAGAAAGACAGTGATTTTCTTACCATAGCTATATTAATTAAAGACTTTTTGTGGAAAATGACACTTATGTGGTTTTACCCTTAAACAGACGATATTTTCGGTTACGCCCAGCAGCCATGAGCACAACTTGCAATATCGCTTATGTACCAAAGAGAAAGCTTAACTCTTAGGTGCCAACGAATAACACGGAAGAGATTTAAAAAGGTCCTTTCTGCACATATTTTGTTTCATTCTCAAAGAGGTTTGCTTTGGCCCGCCAAAGCGTTGTTACTGGACTGTTGGCGGGAGTTTTACATTACACTTGTCCATACACACGGCTCTGTCCATAATAAGCTGAAGCAACTTCTTAATAAGTACTAGTTTAGGGTAGGCCCGGCAGAGGCCCGTTAATGGCTTCCGAAACCGCACTTGCTGCTTGATTGTGTCGCCGTACTACGCGCTCGAGAAAATAAATGCCTGTATCACAAATGACGTCGTACTATAAATAAACAGCTCGCGCGCCTTCTGCCCTCGCTCGCACAAAGGCAAAGGAAGTTAAGAGAATTGCGGCGAACAATTATGCGTTTATCTTATCTACTTTCATCTTCAATTAACTTTCATGTTATTGTTCGCTTAAAACGTTTATTAGAGGAGCGAAACGGTGCTCCGTTGCTTCGACGTGTCGTCGTCGTTGACGCCGTGCAGAATACTAATGTCTAATTAAATACGATATTTTTTCTCTACACTTTATACGATATTTCCCCATAAACTTTCTAAGTCCTGCAGATTGTGCAACGTATGCTAGGTGCGTGTTAACTCGCGTGCGGTGCTACACGTAAGCATCTTACGCAGCGCAGATACTCGAGGCAGCGGCACGTGTCAGGGGAATACCGCCGTAACGCGATAGTCAATGACGACATTCGATCCCAAATGGGAACAAAGTACACAAGCAGTGCAGTACGTATATGTATGGAAATGGTATAAGTTTCATTTTCACGTGAGTGGCGAGCGTTGCTGTGGACGGACGGGCACGAGGGAAATCTGCGCGGGGTTTGACGTGACGCCGATGGATCGCGAATGCGATTAGTCCGTAGACGCACCCGCAGCCGCTCGCGTTGCCCCTGAGCCGCCTGCACCCGCCGACAGCTCGCTGCACAAAACCGTGCATTGTATCTATTTGTGCGTAAACCGCGATATCTGCAACCCTGATCATTTGGATGTACGAAAACCGGACCACGTATCAAATTAATATTTATAATTTTTTTAACCACTGCATTGAACTAATTCAGGGAACAATTTATAGTAAGAATACAAATGACAAGCCCTTGTTGTGATATGTACTATGGCGACCCTAGTGAATTATACAAGTCCGTTATAAAACTAAGGGAAACCAAAACCATCTGAAGTAATAATTCTTTGAAATTTAGTGTTTGGGCAGCGCTACAAATTTACAAAAATAATGAATGCTTTATGAACTTCACAACAACAGGACACACAAGTGACGGTTACATTGATTCCGTTGCAATGTTTAGCGTGTTTTTGTTTTCAGGACAATGTTGTTTCTAAATATTAAAATTAAAAATAACACAATAAAAGTAAAGATAACTTCGAACACTACGGACAGCGAATATGAGAGAATAA